GCATATTCAGTTTTGGTGCATGATAAATGTAGGATAGGTAGCAGTAGAAGCAATTTGCTAGATTAAAGTAGGAGTAGGAAAGCATGTAAATTAGTGACTATTGTGACTGTACTATTTAGTGAGGTCAGTTACATTGGCCTAATCTTCACTGTACAAGCCTTTTGTATTAATATGAAAGTTATAATAGGACCAGATCAGATTAACTCAATGTATTTAAGTAGATGTATTTGGCACTAAGGGCTATCAGTGGCGTAGCCAGAATTTTTGAAAAGAGGGGGAGGATATGCGGTGCGTGAAGCGCCATGAAATTTTGAAATTTGCGAAACCATGCCCTTTTTAGGGACATGACCACACCAATTTTTTAAGATAGTGCACTTCTTGACTGATCATAGGCAACATTGAATACCTTTTCAGCTTTATAATGGCATTATAGAAAGACTGCCTTGGCCTTTTCCTTCTTTCATATGTAAGTTATAGAACAGCTTTTTTTTCCAAAAGTAGCTTAACATTTCATTATTTTAAATTTTGATTTACTGGGGGGGGCATTTCTCCTCTTGGCCCCCTGGCTATTAAACACAAGCTGCAGTGGCTGCAGCATGCTACTGCATGGCATATTATGACACTTGCAGGGCTTCCCAAAAAAAGCATGCTAAGTGAGCTAAACAGCAGCTTCATGAGCTGAGAAGCACTATAGTACATGGCTTTTTGAGCAACTTTTAAAATTCATTAAAAAATCCAACTTATCGTCGCAATTAGCTTAAATTGTCTACACAACATAATAACAAGTATGTATTATAAAGAATTATAAAATGGAGAATTTTCTAGTTGTGGCTTCTTGTTGAAATACCCTGTAGATTTGTACATTTAATTACCTTGACTAATCCACTGACAAGAAGCTGCATGAGCATTATATGCTGAAATCCTTTTGGAAACCCTGTCCTGTTCATATATTATCATTATGTAACACTGCAGCTATGATGTAACAAAGCAATGCATGATAAGTTTTATTTTAATAATTTTATGGGTAGCTAACCTACAGCTTGGATCAAATTATTGTTTTGGTGAAATTTCCATGCAGCTACTGCATGATTTTTTATTTTATATTGCAGTGAAGCTCTATTAGACACAAATTAAGTTCCTCGTGCTATTATCTTAGAAACATTCATACTAGTACTCCCAACACATTTATTTGCTGATGTTTCACAAAAGTTGACAGAACCACTAAAGTCCGTACCTGAGTTTTCAACTTCTTGCTATAACTTTTGAAATAATAGTTCTGTTGTAAAAGTACACATACCAATGCATTACTCTCCTTTTGCTGGTACTAAAAGGTATGCATAGCTGTAGCTTTAATTTGATTGCATAACCAATAAAGTAAAATAATAGCTAGAAAATTTGGAATGTCAAATTTGGCAAATTGACTTTTACTAAAAAAGGTTCAGAGGTTAAAATTTCAACTATATTCATGCTGCAACAGAGCCTTGTCAAAAAATGGAGACTAATTTGCCAAAGTCACCAAAGTTTTATTTGCCAAATTTTAAGTTTCTACTCATTGTGATTTATACAAGAGTGAGAGTTAGATGTAGATCCACATTAGCTATTAATAATAGGATGAACTATGAAATTGTTCAGTAATGTATGATGTATTGTGCAGCTGGAAATATTGGCACAGGAATTAAGCCTGGCTGGTAATTTTGTTTTGCAGTTGGTAAATTTTGTCTGTCATTGAGCATTCTCAGCATTAAAGAAACTGACAGACTTAGTAAATGTATTGGCAGATAGTCACTTCAACAATTAACCAATTAAAGTTCACTAATGTTACTTTCCAACCATTATTTCCAGCTATACATGTATAGAGCAAATTTGCATTTTTATAGTATGCACCACTGGATCGATTCATCTCATTGGTGGTTCACATGATTGGGAAGGAAGAGTGGAAGTGTATATTAATGAATCATGGGGCACTGTCTGTGATAATAACTGGGACTCTACTGATGCAGCAGTAGTGTGTAGACAACTAGGCTGGGGAACAAGTGAGTTGATTTCTCATAGTTTTGGTAACAATAGTGATTATCACAGGTGGAAGCCCTCTATCATTTGCCAACTTTGGTCAGGGTGCTGTTTTTCACCTGGATAATGTTCAGTGCTTAGGAACTGAGCAGCTATTGACAAACTGCACACATTTGAGCACCCACAACTGGTGGAAACTCTAAGGATGCTGGAGTAGCTTGTCATGTTAGTTTCATAATC